CATGCCATCGATTACGCGAATGTAGCGCAAAAAGAGAAATTGACTGAATTACAATTGCGCATACGTCAATTACTTGATCAAGTAGATCAAATTACTAAGGAGCAGAATTATCAACGCTACCGCGAGGAACGTTTCCGTCACACAAGTGAAAGTACCAATGCGCGCGTTTTGTGGTGGTCGTTAGCGCAAACTTGTGTTTTGATCACTATGGGTTTCTGGCAGATGAGACACTTAAAGAGCTTCTTTGAAGCAAAGAAGCTAGTGTAAATATGCACGCTGAAAATTTGCATACGGCAAAGGATAGATTACGCCTTTTATCTGTGGGTATGAAAAACGGATTATGGATATAAGAGCAATTCTTCCGTGTGCCTACGAAAAATCGAACGAGAGTCTCCTTCAACCAAATTCATCAATCTCATTTTCTTACAATTTCAAATGCTTACTAATTCGACTCTAATACTAACACAGTTTACTAGGCGTTACATTAAAATTACATTACATTATTAAATAGTAAATTTGTTCCGAATAGCTACAAAACTACATACAATTGTATATAAGAAATATACCTTCTTCTGTTTTATGATCTGTAGTTATAAACCAAAAAATAAATAAAACTTAATTTGTTGTAATGTAATGTCTCTTTGTTACTGGTTGTCAGTGTTATGTTGCTATGAATAATAAACAGAGATGGCGTAGAGCGTCAGTTGTATATAAGCAATACCAATGATTGCATGGGAAAAAATTGCATGGCTATATGCAGACCGCGTGACTTGTAATCAGCTTTTCTTACTTTTGGTTTTTTGTATTTTATTGTAGAAGGTCTGAAATGATAACAGTATTTATATGTTTACATGTACAAAAATATTTATATGCATCATTGGCTTGACGCATAGCGAAAAAGTTCAAGCAGCATCCTACTGGTTAAATAGGAGGATCATTTAAATTAATGTTTTATGCTCGTTAAAATCGAAAATTATTTAAAAATATGTAATTAGTTACCGTTTTTAGAAGCGAATTTTCATATGCAGGACACTTCAGAGAAATTTGGATCAGAAGGGCTGGAGTATCCAATTATGACAATACACATTTAAATAAGATTGCCAAATACATATATGTATATATAAAACAAAATTAAATGGGTCAAACAGCTCTTGAATTCTTAAATGATAAGAGTCATATTTGCGCATGTGCACATATGTACATATTATGTTTGTACCTCAGGCAAGATGAACTACAAATGAAGCTGGGTGATAAAAAACCCTACATATTAGCTGATTACGCATACAAGCACATAAAGAGATAAGGTTGCAACGATTTCGAGACTAATTTGTAAAGCCAGCGAGAGGTTAATCTCTGAAGCACCTATACATTTGAAAATGAAAGAGCAAAAACAAATTGTGGCATAAAAGATTTAATAAAAATTGTTGTCGTCAGAAGTAGGTGCAACCAAAAAAATACGTAATTAATAACAAAGCTGTAGACAGATTGTAGACCAAATACGTGTGAGCGAAAATGAATGCAACGCCTTGCCGATAAAGAAGCAACAGCAGCTGGTAGCGGTGCGACCGTCACCACAATCACAAGACGCGAGCGCTTAGTTCAAGTAGCAAACTGTAGCTAGGAGTAAAAATTCGAATGAGCGCTAGAGCTCTTTACAGCTTATTTAGTGTTTAGCAAGACGCGTTCGTGGGAGGTTGAAAATATTCGAGTACTAGTTGTTTAAAGTGGAATCGAAACGTGGAATTTAAAAAAAAAATGAATGCATTCAAATGATATGACCACGAAATTGTACTTTGTGAAAATTAGAAATGAGTGAATCTACAAAGTTTATACAATAGTTTATATGTAAAACGAAAATTCAAAACAGAAAACCACTGATAAAATCGAAGGTAATGCTAAACATTCAGTGAAGAGTTCACTACAAATTAAAACTATATTATTGCGGTACGTTATTGCACGCCACCCCAACCACATTCGCCCGGCACCATTACTTGCAGCCACATTTAAAGGCCAACCACCGAGTAAAGTAGTCAGACTTTATCTCAATCAATCTCACCGGTTAGACGCACCGCGAGCCCAGAGGGAGAAATGTTTCGTGCATCGCAGATCGCTAGTGAGGAGAGTAAGTGCGTCACCTGAAAGTATATACACATACATATGTATGTATGTACATAGTAGATGTTTATTATTTATGTATGTATTTATGCATCATCATGAACTAGTGCAAATAACCACTTAAACCGCTAGTCATCTTTCTCATAAGCATATCAGATTCCAACTCTGCTAAGCCTTTTCATAGGCCATAACAGAGATTACCCATAATCGCTGTTAACTTTTAATACATTATATTGACTATTTGCCATTTATGTTAGTTCAACTAAAAGGCGGAAAACAGTTAAATAACAAGTGAACTTAAACATATTATGCTTGTAAGTATATTGTGTCTGCGTTTAAGCGCATATGCAAATAATTGCAGTTAAGGAGTATACAGCGATAAGAATTTTTTGATTTACAGCGATAAGCTGATCACATTGTGATTTGTAATAAGATGCGGTCATGTAAGGCCTCTCCCAATCAGTAATGAAATATAAATATGTACATATACATACGTATGTTAGACCGCATCACTCCCCATACAAAAAAAAAAATAATCGACACGGTTTATCCATTGGAATTATAAAATCTATTATATTTTAAGACGTCCACCAAAATATTTCGGAAAAATATTAAGATTTAAGCGAGCTGGATCGATTTGAAAATACCTCCAAAAAGGAGCTTTTCTAAAAAAAATCCCCTCAAATGACAAAACGGTTTAAGCTTAAAAAATTTACATAAAAATATTTAAAACAAAAAAAAAATTAACGGAATCGTAATAATGAGATTTTTGATGCTGTTTTCTACCTTTTTTCAAAGATTGGTATAAGAAAAACTTTAATCTCTTCCGATTTAGACTTGTGAGTATCATTGGAAAGTATTTTCTCTTGCTAATAAACTCATTCAAAGGATGAAAGAGATTCAAACTTGAATTAGGATTTAGGTATTGGTATTTGAAAAAAAAAATATGAGACACGAATGACTTTTTGCACTTAAATAAAAATAGTGGGAAAATACCTTTCTACCGAGATCCCATAAGTCTAAATAAGAATAGTTTTGGCCCAGATATTTTAAGTTTTTCGTAAATCAATCTTTGAAAAAAGTAAAAAACAACAGCATCAAAAATCTCATTATTACGATCCCGTTGAAAAGATTTTTAAATATTTTTATGCAGATTTTTTAAGCCTGTTTTGTCATCTGAGGGGACTTTTTTCAAAAATTTCTTTAAGAAACTATTTTTATTCATAAAAAACTCTAATTTGAAGGTATTTTCAAATCGGTCCAGCTCGCTTAAATCTTAATATTTTTCCTAAATATTTTGGTGGACGTCTTAAAATATAATAAATTTTGTAATCCCGGCGGAAAAACCGCAACTTTTTTTTTGTAGATGCCGTCTAATGTGTGTACATTAAACGGTTCCACTTTACAAGAAAACAAAAAAGGTCGTCTAACATACGGTCGTCGTTTTAAATTTTTCGGTGGCACCTACATACGTATGTATGTACATACATATCTACCTTCGGCAATACATTTTTTTTTAATAGTTCTACAAAATACTTCCTGAGCAAAAGTTTAATGATTTTTGGAGAGCTTTAATTTACTGACGTTAGGGTGGTACGTTGGAGTGATAAGAGCTTGCATATAGTGGGAAAGTACTAGAACCGGTTACTTGAGGTCAACGAACTTCAGAACAAAAAAAAATTCTCCTCGAGAAAAGAACACCGATATATCATACTTTAAGAACCGACTGTATATGCCGAAAATACTTATGACAAAAAATGTAAAAGGGAAAAAAACAAAAAAATATTTTTTAGCGAAATTGACTAGAAAAATACTTTTAAGACACAGGTGTATGGCGAACTTTTTTTCTGGTACGGCCTAATGTACAGAAGTATGTATGCATGAAAACTACATATTGAATTACCGAAAGCAATTCGCGCAGTAAAAAAATTAACTAGCTGTTGAAACAAAACAAACACGGTTGGTTCATTATAAAATTAGACTTAAACGAAAGCTACTAAAATAGCACGTCAAATTTAAAGAATTTACATAGGTATATTAAGTTCATGAACAATTTCAGATTTTAAATCGCAATTACAGATTGTGACATATGTAGTTATTAGCAATCATGATGTATAAAAATGAGATAATTTGGACAAAATGAGTGCAATACTGACTTAAAATAAAACGAGGCCATTTTTTTACACGAAATAGTTGTACATTTTTTCCTTCAAAGGTTAATACTAATTGTTTTAAGATGAACTAAACATAAAACCTTAAGTTATTCAAAAAAGATATGTATGTATATCTACAGTGCCGGACAAAAGTATTGGTAAAGAGAATTTTTCGCAATATATGCGAAGTGTTTAATTCTAATTTATTTTCAATATTTTTTAATAAAAATATAGTTCGTACTTCAAAAAAAAAACTTACAAACAAAATATCTAAACTTTGTGCAAAACTCAGGAAAATTCAATAAATTTGCATACTAACTTGCAACTTTCCATTCAGATTTTTTAGAAAAATTCCAAGTATGCAGTTTTATATTTATAGCCCATTCAATTTTAGTATAACAAAGTGCAAGTTGACTTTTGGCAATTTTTTAGTGGAAGGTGTTGCTCATTTTCTCCATACAAAAAATAATTGTCGAACATACTATGTATGGAAGAACCTGAGTGAAAAAAAATTTGCCAAAAATCAACGCGATTTTTTAGCAACTTCAAGCTTGCACTTTGTTATACTAAAATTAGATGAGCTATAAAACTGCATTTTTTTTTTTTTTAAATCTGAATTGAAAGTTGAAAATTAGTATGCAAATTTAATGGAGTTTTCTGAGTTTTGCACAAGGTTAAGAGATTTAGTTTTTATATTTTGCATTGAGTTTTTAAAATTATTATTTTTTAATTAACCATATTCTGGAAATTTCAAAGTCCTTAAAAAATGCTGACTACAGATGTTAAAATCTAAAATTCTTTTCTGCTCATATTTAGCCGCTACTTTCGCGAGCATATTGATTTTTGTGTGTGTAAAAATGACTGTCGCACGGCGTATTCAGACTAAAAAAAAAATATATTGCCATTTAAAGTTAGTGGTTTGAGAATGTTTAACAAAAACTAGTTCTTGTATGCGGAAAAATTCATTAGTTAAAAAAAAATGTATTTTATTTATTTCAATTCATTATCCACTTATGTATTATAAACATTTCAGCACTGCCTGCACTTTTTGATGCAACGCGCTCGCCTCAGCCCTTAAGATCAACAGATGACATCACACAGGCTGATGCCGGAACATATCTTAGAAAATATGAACGAAGGCTATCATTGAAATATGGACTTACAACATCTTTACCGCCGATTAAATATAAATACCCATTGGCTGTGGTTTTTGTACTTTTAACGAAATTTTTCGAGGCATTCGCTGCTAATGGCATTAGAAGTGAGTATGATTATAGCCATACATCGCTTTGAGTTTATACATACGTAACTACATTTAGCACCTATGTATGTACATACATATGTAAATGCAGATGTATATTTGAATTTTGTTGTAGATTGAAACTTCTAGGACTATTCTAGAGATGCTAATAGATTTCGTAAATTGAAGGTATTCAGCCTTATTAGAGTTTCATTTACCCCGAACCGGTTCACTTTTCACTTTTCGTTTCCATATATTTACTAATGGGCGGACTCAGTATTAGGCTGATTGCTTTGAAATTTGTTGTTGAGTTTATTTGAAAGCAAACTAACGAAATATTTTAAAAACGAATTTCTAAAAGAATGTCAATTATGACCTTTTGCTTTGAAACGACGAAATGCGTGAGTTGCCTTTTTCTTAATTAAATTTCAACGCACTTTTTAAATGTTCATCCATCTTATCCTAAACATTAGTTCGTCACGTTTCAACGAAACTTTATTTTTGCGACAAATTTACTTTAAAAACTTTAATATCAAATCTCTTGTTTCAGCTGTTTTGGTTTTGTATTTGCGTGATGATCTCTATTTCAGCGAAAACTTCGCAACGATTATGCTGCATATATTTAATTTCTTTGGGCAATTTTGTCCAATTTTCGGTGCTATATTGGCAGACAGTTATTTCGGCAATGTCCGCACGATTTCCTACTTTTGCATGCTGTATGCGATAGGTTGGGTGATGTTGATTCTAACGGTACTACCCAACATAGGGTCATCACTGATGTAAGTTTTATATGTAAATATGTTTTTGAATCAAGCGTATATGGATTAATTTTTTGGTTTGTTTTTAATTTCAGTGTTTTAGTATCCGTTTCTTTGTTATTCATCGCCATTGGTAATGGCTCCATACGCGCATGCATCACCTCCCTGGGTGCGCAGCAATTCAAAGTGCCAGAACAAGCTAGTCGCTTAGCTGAATATTTTTCCTTGTATTATTTTGTGTATTATTTTGGTATACTGCTAAGTAAAATTTTACCTCCTTTTGTGCGTGCTAAAACACAATGTTTCGGTAAAACCGACTGTTATTCGGCGGTATTTGGAACGCTAGGCCTATCTTTTGCGGCTTCATGGGGTGAGTATGATTTGAAAACATTTTATTTTGACGGATATTTTCGATAGTCGGCTTTTAAAAAGACAACGATCTTTGTTTCCAGTAATTTTTGCCATCGGACGATTTTTCTACAAATCCGAAAAACTCTCCGAAGAAAATATACTGATAAAATTTTATGGTTGTATTAAACACGCTTTGGTGGTTAAATGGAGTAGAACGCGCAAGGATGAACAACCTGCCTATTGGCTACACAATGCAGTGGGTAAATATGACGAGGCATTTGTCAACGATGTGTGCAAAGTATTAAAGGTAAATAGTTGGCTGCTTATTTGCATCTTAAACCGTCTATTAATGAAATATGTACTCACTTTTGTCGTCGACAGATCACTAAGCTCTTCTTGCCACTGCCTATATACTTCGCTCTGCTGGCACAGCAGGATTCTAGTTGGACATTTCAAGCTTCAATGATGAATACGACAGTGGTGAATACGATAACAATACAACCTGATCAGGTGAGTACTAGGCGTTATATTTTATATAATTTATTTGCAAATATTCGTGTATAATTTTCAGGCCAAAGCGATGGGGCCCATTTTGCTTTTCATCCTTATACCTTTGTGGCAATATATTTTTACGCCTATTATTCGCCGATTATTTGGCAGAGAATTGAAGCCACTTCATAGCGTTACCATAGGTGGCGTGTCCTCAGCGTTGGCGTTTATTTGTGCGGGTGTGCTGCAAGAATATATTTATGTAAGTTTGGCCAAAATCATACTATGGGCATGGAAAATCCTCACCTCATTAATATTCTAGAATCATCCTTATCGTTATGTTAGCATAGTTTGGCAAGTTCCTCAGTTCTTGTTACTAATGCTGGGCGAGTTATTGCTGTCCATTCCAGGCTTGAAGTTTGCATTTACACAGGCAAGTAGAAAGCAAATAACACCTCAAAACTTTTGATTATATAAATTACTTTATAGGCGCCGGCTTCAATGAAATCGGTGGTTACAGCTGCGTGGTTCATTAACAATGCTTTTGGCAATCTTATTGTTGTGTTTATAACAAAGTTGGATATTTTTGCTTCACAGGTGAATTAGTATGCATGAATTAGTATTCATACTCAATACATAATACTTTGGTAATTTTTTTAGAGCTACGAATACTTTTTCTATGCTGTTTTAATGATTGTGAGCATAATTATTTTTGCCATGCTATCTTATGATTATGTGCTGCATCAGCAAGCTGGTGATTTACTAGCGAACATTAACTTACTACAGTCAAGGCGCCATTTAATGGAGGACGATGATGAACCTACAACCAGCGCTGGAAGCTCCAGCAGTCGTAGAATTAGCATTTAGTTTGCATAAAAAAATTCCATATTAAAAATTCCATTAAATACCATTAAATCTAAATTTAATCTAAAATTTTAAAAACATATTGCAGTTCCAGTAAGGTATCATCCGGCAAATCTGTGCAGTGAACCGCGTTTAATGTTTTATTAACTCCAAATTTTGCACGCAATGTATGCGGACGCAGCTGTTTTGCAATTTCCTGTAAAGAAGTTAAAATTAGTACCACCATCTTGCAGAAAATCAATGCTATCATACCGGATCCATTGGTCCACAAAATTGTCTAAATTCCTCGTATGAGTTTTTATTTTCATCGGCACAAACGATTTCTAACGCCATACTTACACCGCTTGCAAGTTGTGCCACCATTGGCTGTATGAATTAAGAAAATATGAAGTTAGTGATACATATTATGTATGTGGCAATTTTATTGGAATACTCACTATATATTCTGGCAAAATACCACGGTATACTTCAAAAAATTCTTCACAATTCACGCGCTCCATTAAATTCATGCGAAGACCAGCAATTTTAAAGCCGTTACTGGTTATCTCAGTTATTATTCGACCTAAGTTCCCTTTAGTAAAGAAAAACAACAATTTTGTTACCTACATATTAACGTAAATATTTATTTTTTATTTGAATTCGAACACACAAACCTTCTTTAATGCAATGCGGTTTTATAATGGCCAATGTAGAATTTTTCAGTTGTAGTGTGGCCTGCAAGCCATTTTTTTGATTGAAAAAGAAACTAATATCCTATTGACAAAATATAATACGATTTAACATTGAAATGAATTTAATATACATATCGCCACCTGAAATGCAAAAAGACATAACAACCTCGTCGCTGAAAGTAAAATGCCGTAACTAATCAAAAATTCAAAATTCACTTTTTGATTGATACGATGGATTTCGTTGAACTAAAACTGCCCAAATCGTTTTATGAAAAAAAAAAATTATCAGTCACGGTTTTCCCATTTCAGTGACGATGGTTGTTACGTCTTTTTCCATTTCAGGTGACTATATAGTACCTGTTCTGCCTCCTCTTCGTTATTTGAGCAATAAATGCTTAAACGAATGTCTTCCCGTTCGAATAAAGTTACAAGCGGGGCAATAGTGTTATCTTTAGAACAATCTTTACTTTGTTCCTGGCAGGATTTGATTTTCTGTACTGCATTATCGGCAATGACTTCGAAGCCCATAGAGGGACCACCTATTAGTTGGTTCAATAGCGAGCTGCTAATCAAAAGTTATATAAACAATATACAAAACTAGTAGTTGCAACAGAGTGCACAAATCTAACTTACGAAGCTTCAACATTTGGTTTATTTCTTAAGAAGGCCTTCACCTGCTCGGGTGTGAATTGCACCATAAGTCCTCTATTAATACTAAAATTACAATCGATAAGAGCACAGAGTACGGCACCCAAATGTTGAACGCAGGTATTCTTTAAAAGCAGAAAAGTTCTATTCGAGATAAAAAAAATATTTAAGGCAGTTTGTTTTCGTAATGTAAGGCTTTTTAATACTTTGTGCGATATTTGTGGAGCGAGTTCTTCGTTATTTCATCAGCGTAATTGACTATATCAAATTGTCTTCCGAAAATGTTAATTTTTGAGCCAATAAAAAAATCACGCTCGGACAACTCAGGCATTTTGGTGCGCCGTAGGAAAGTGCGTTTGTGTTGTTGATCATACTAGAAGCCATATACATAGGTAAGTATGTACATAAAAAAAGGATGCTTAAGGATCCGTTATCTACATATATTGTAAGCTAATACTAAGCCTGTTTCAGTTACTTCAAGATTTACAGGAAAATAAGTGTTCGCCATTAATAAACTTTATGTAAGATGTCGCACGGGAACAGCTTCCTGTAAAATCTCGTGAATTCCTACAAATCCTGAAGTAACTGGAACAGGCATACTAATTACCACTTCAATTGCATTGCCGGTTGGGTAAAAAATTATAGTGAATGTGCGTATAATTGCTGCCTCCTCCTGATACCACTCCGCTATGAAGGATAATCGTCGATTGAATGCCTGAAGTAATTTACCAAATAAGCCACTGTCTAATACATTCACTGACATAGAACTTACCATTTACCTCTTTAAGATGGGTTTGTTTTTATTAAAAAAAGATGCTACAAAATATAATTTTCCTCTAAATATTGAAACTTACATATGTGAAGTAAATTGAAAATTACCCCTCTATTTCCAATTTTGGTTTCCCGGCAACCGGTGGGCTATTTATGACTAATACAGTACCATTCCAATTTTTAGCGTTTTCGACGGCTCTCAAACTATAACCGCAAAGTTTTATTCTTAAAGTGCTGTTAGACGTGGCAACGCAAGCGCTTTTCCTACGCATTTTGTTATGAATATGCGAAATCGAAAGTCTACTTTCCCGTGTTAACAACCAGATAGTCCTTTTTGCAGATTTGCAGAAATCACTTTCGGAAATAAAAATCGCAAGGTGTAACTAACTGAAATTAACCAAATCGCTTCGGAGAAACAATTTCAACTTGCTCGTGCTGCACTAGCAATTTTCATTTTTGCTGCATGTGCAATCGAGTGTTGCCTTGTGCCGCGATTCTTGGCGAATTTGTATAACCCCACGTCCCCATTTTCTACGACTTGCTGTCTTAACATATCACTTTCAAAATGGCATCAAGCTAATCAGATCGACCTGTAGTACGCAATTTAGATGTTGCGGTAAAATGAAAACTGAGTTGTCAAACTACCAAATGACAGCTGATGTTAAGACAGCGATGGTAAGAAATTCGGCAAGACAGATATGGTTTAACAGTGGAAATTCGTGATATCCACCTGACATTTCTGTCTTAACACAGCTTTTTTAACAGAATCTGTAGAAGGTGGAGACGTGGGGTAAAATTGTATAAATGTTGCGTCACATATAAAAAAAAAATACTTCTAATTAATTTATTCTCCTGATATGAACTATTTAAATACATACAAAAGCATTCCACATTTTGTGGTTGTTTTATGCGCATTTTAGCATTATCAACAAAATTTTCAGTCAGTAACTTTGTTATAAGCATAAAATTGTCTGGCAACAAAGTTGAAAGTGGAATTGTCTGCCTTCACCGTGTAAACATTCAAAAGTAGTACACTTTCAAAAGTAACTTTCAATGCAAGGAGCAATTGCTCTTGCAATCACTTTTGGAAATTCTTGAAAAACTTTTCAAAAGAACTTGAACATGCCACGTCTAACAGCTACTTTAAGGATTATTGGGGAAACTTTCCTATATGGACGGTGGTTGTTATTGTTGTAGCGGCCACTAAACCCCGCTCGGGTTCGCCCATCCATCAACGTTATCGTCTGTTTCAGCTAAGGGGAAGCCCAGGAAGTGCGCAAATTCAACAGGATCTGTCCATAGGGACAGAGCCGTCAGCTGGGTGAGGTTTTTGTGGTGTTGAAGTGTTTTAAAAAATGTGCAAACTTTTAACAGGAAAAAACAGCCAAATTTTTAATTTGTATTAAGCCTGTTCTTTTACCAAAAAAAAAAAAAAAACAAGTTACTAACGAAGAAAATCGATGGATATAAACAAGAGTAGTGAATAGTCAAATGAAAATGCGTAATGATTTTTCCCCAGTTAAAGTTTGATTTTTTTTTTTTCTTAAAACTTCTCCACTAAATACCTCATTATTTTGAAGGGATATGGATTTTTAAAAAACGGCATCGTAATCTAGAGCACAAAATTAAGTTTACGTGCTTGGCCGTGATATTTCGAAGTTTACCTAGTGTTATTTTATTTACTTTATTTTTATTTATTTATGTTATGAAAGCTTAAATAATAAATTATTAAATGAACTAAAAAGAAACGCAGCGCTAGCAACGGAGGCTTTCGGCTGCAACCTAGTGTTATTATACAAAACGACTTCATAAGTTTAGGCGTATTATTTATTTCTTTTCAAAGCGCTTATATTTCACAATTTAACATTTTTGTCAATACGGAAACAGTTCAGTAGGAGTATCTTAAAATGGCTGTGTTAAGTGAATTATGAAAACATGCGTTGCTAAAAAATAAATACATATTTGAATTGAATTGCAACATGAAATGCTTTTAAAGTTTATAGTAATTGGAGCTTTTTTTATTTTTGCTATAAATTTGACTTCGTTACTTTTTGTTAAAAAAAGATAACAAATTGTATGTATTTGGGTAAGTATTAATACTTTTTATCAAATTCTTGCCAATTTCCATATTTCATTTTAAATTGTGTTTGCTCACAAATTTGCTACGCTTTGCGCAAACAGACTAAACTTGTTGTTATGTATAAAATTTAAAATATGTATTTCTCATCAATGTAAAAATATTGGATAAACGGTTGTTGAATCGCATGCGATTTCCTTTATTTACAGGAAAAAACTAATTTCCATAATCAACGCTATGTTTGGGTGCTTTCCAAAACGTCAAAATACAAAGCATCAGTCCCTTTTATTTCTAAACGGCACTAGAAGAAAAAGTCTAACTTGCGCAACCAAATTGAAAATTAGCATCTAACCGTGGTTGCGCGCATTTGGCTTTACAATCTGCTGAAGCTTAGAAATAAAAGAGACTGATGCTTTGTATTTTGACGTTTTGGAATGCACCCTTTGTTTTTCTTTTGAATATGTGTCGGGTGTGTTCCAAAACGTCAAAAACAAAGCAAGCATCAGTCACTTTTATTTCTAAACCGCACTAGAAGAAGTCTAACTTGTGCAACCTAGTAGAAAACTAGCATCTAACCGTGGCTGCGCACATTTGGCAATACAATATACAAGAGGTTTAGAAATAAAAGACTGATGCTTTTTATTTTGACGTTTTGGAATGCACCCGTACTTATGTAGGTTTTATGCAAATCGAGTGACTAATAGTACGGTGCACATACTTCTGGCTTATAAATTCTATATATTATGTTATTACTCGCGTACCTTAGTGAAAGTTTACCTCAAAACAAATGAAAAAAAGGAATTGTATTGTTTATGATTTAGCATCATTTTACATACTAAATTTGAAATGATTTTTTAATTGAAGTTGGTCAAATATTGTTTGATTTTTCTTTTCCCACTCTCCTGGAAAAAATATTTATTTATATTAATAGGGGTTTTTAATGTATAGTTTGGAGTTTCTTTTTGTGATCATTTGTGATCTTCTCTTGTTAAGGTTCCATTTACTTCTGCACTACATATTTCAAATGTTTAACCAATTATTAAACTATTTTTGCTCAGCATCTGCAGCTGCTGGCTTTTCTTCTTGTACATTCTCCTTTTCCTTTTCCTCATCCGAAGAATCTTCGTCATTTTTGGATAAGCTGGGGATATCATCATCTGAATCTTCGTCTTCTAGACCCATGTCGTCGAATTTTTTGTCCCATGACGAATTAAATAAGTTATTAAAAGGGGCTTCAGGTTCACCCTCTGAAAAAAATGTTAAATGCATTTTCATTTATTTTTAAGCCTAGGTGATAGCTTTTTATATTTACCATCCTCATCATCGGACTCATTTTTCCACTTTGCGAAATTCGCTTTCAAGAAGTGCAATTTGATTTTATCGTTGGTGAGGCTGGGCCAGTAGGGACCTTTTTCTTTCTGTAATGTGTTAATAAATACTTCATATATGGCATTATATAGAAAAACAATTAAAACAAATACTGTCGCAACTATGGATTTAAAGCTCAAACTTTTAAAACATCAGCTAACTTTATCCAACTTTTTTAAATATTGCTCCAGCAAATTGTAAAATGTTTCCTTTTTATGATAAAAGTTTAACAAATTTTACTTTTTACCCAAATGAAGGCCGTAAAATTTATAAATGCACATTTATTCTCACCTTGTAAATAGTGAATTCCAAGCAACGCCCAATGTTCTTGCTCGTCACCCTTTCCGGATCCACGTTGTGTAGGAAATTTAGCGTTACTTCATATTTTTTGGAGGCGTCTAAGGCGTTAACACCCTTGAAAGTGAAACTATTCTCTGTCACTCTAAAAATAAGATTATTTGTGCTTGGCTAATAAGTTTTAGATAAGAATGCAACTATCGCTTACTTATGTTCAATGTTGGTGCATTCAACGTCGATGATTACATAGAGCAGATCAAATCGTTGGGCCCATGAAACTGGTGGATATATTGTTCTGTTGGATATATTAAAATATAAATATTTTGTATGTTTAGCATTTGTGCCACTACTTAATTTAGTGCTAAACGATCGTTAAACTATTGTCATAAATGCTACAGATGGAATCAACAAAAGTAGTGCAAAAAGTGGCCCCGTTGCTCCGCTCCGTAAGTTTTAAATTACTCCGTCTCAAACACCTTTGCTGGACTTTTAACTTATGACTCAAATAACAATAAATAAGTGTTTGTACATGTGTACATGTTCATATTGTTCACTAGCTCGCCGGCTAGCAACCCAAGCTTTACACATACCGGATCAAAGAAGTAATTTTCATAACCTAATTTAATTACATACATTAAATTCTTAATTTGGCATTCCAAATTTCAAAGGTATTAAAAACTTGTATATTGTGGAAGAGTTTAAAAAACATGCAACGTACAATTTCTGGGCGGCGTATTTAGAACTGTTCGAGAAAATGCTTCTTAACATAACCTAAAAAGTTTGAAGAAGTGCTGTGGTCATAGACCGCACTGCCTTGGCAGCTTTGTATGAATTTAATTTACAAAGTTTATATTAGTGCCCGACTTCTTTTTTGCATACTCATATAATTTAAATACACAAAACGGACTCCAAAGGAATATGATGCCCCATTGTAGGGACTCAAATAATCAAAATAACCAAATTGTAGTCACTGCCGCCGCAACCGTCGCTGCTTATGATGGTCTTTATACCAACAAAACGCACACCCGCTTATGGTGCATGCATTTTCACGCTACGCCAGCCGCTTTTCATCATACGATTTAATTCACTTACCCCGTTGTTTCCGACATATTTCCAAAATGTATTTTAAAATTACTTTGCGATCAACGCTATTCGTAATCGAGATTAGTACGTTTTTGTGGCTAATTTCACTTCTAATACTCAGGAAATAGTAGTTCGATTGCTCGCACCCGCAAAAAAAGACGAATAAAAGAAGCGAAAATTTGGCTCGTTCTTCTTTGTGAAGTTTCAGAGTTGCAATGAGTACAGGGTGACGCGCCAAAAAATGCATGTTGTTCGTGGAGTTACCATTTCTAAAAATTAATCTAACAGGTCTATTCTGCGCGGGTAATAAATAGCCTGTTCCCGTACTTCACGATTTCAAGGATTTGCAGGTTTTACAGGAACAGCTGAACGTGGCATACGGGAACGACTTTGGACTAAATCCTGCAAAACCTGCAAATCGTAGACGTTCTTGAACGCACTAAAAGATAGGCACACCAGCAAATCACTTTCATTTGGACCGAAATTTATTCTTCTCTTATTTTCTGACATTTTTGCTCAAATATTACACTTTAAATAAACCGCATACACCATCTCTAACAACTAAACAAATCATTTTTTGTGGTGCTGCCATAATTTTTAACAATATATTTTCCATACTTAAGTACGAATTGTGAAATGCAAACTTGAACAAAAACTGTTCTTAGCTAAGATTTTTCTCAAATTGAACTAAAGTTCAACTTAAATTTAAATTGTGAGACTATCCCTGAAATAACCCATTAGCAGCGCCTAGCGCCATCTGTTCGTCGACTTTAACCAAATTTAAATTTCCTCAATCCCAAAAAAAAATCAAATAATTTTTGACATTTGTGGTTGGTAGTTTTTTTTTAGACATTTTTCGACATTTGCGAATTGTATTACTCGTTGTCTTCTTCGCCAATAAAGAAAGAGGTACTGCGTGACATCCCTATTACTTAACCAATAAATTCCTTAATCCTAAATTTCATATTTAATTAAAATCAAATACACCTTTAATTCACAGAAAATGTTGCGTGTCGCTTCTGGACAAGTTGCTAACGTGCTGCGGGGAGCTATGGGCCTTTCTGGTCGCATGGCCAATGTCGGTTCGGTGCGTGCCTCACACGGCGAAGAAAATGAAGATGTTTTCAACAAACGCTACGAGGACTATTTCAATCGCAAGGATATCGATGGTTGGGAGGTTCGCAAAGGCATGAACGACTTGCTGGGTATGGATTTAGTGCCCGAACCAAAGATTATTGAAGCTGGTTTGCGTGCTTGCCGTCGTGTCAACGACATTTCCCTGGCCATTAGGTGGTTAGAAGGTTGCAAAGACAAATGTGGTGACCAAAAGGCAACCATCTATCCTTATCTTATCCAGAACATTCGTCCCACTCTGGAAGAATTGGGCGTTCCAACCCCAGAAGAATTGAACTACGATAAACCAGAATTGGCTTTGCAATCGGTCTATGACATGTAATTTATTTACCATGGTACCCTATCAATTTAGTTAAAATTAGTCTGCTAAAAGTGATAGACGCTTAAGAAGAAATGTATTCTATAAGTTAACATTGGGTTGCAGTAAATTGGAATGCATTTTCGGTTTTTTTACAATAGCTGAATAAATGTGTTGGATATCAGAGCTGGCGACAGTGAAATTAAAACGAAAAATTGTTTTTTGTGTTGCTTATGTAATCAATAGATTCTCTGATATGAGACAAGTACATACATTTCAGTGTTAAGAGGAATAAGCAGCTGTTATGGTGAGGTTAGATTAGTAGAGGGGGCGAAATTTAAATGTATGCAACAAAGTTGTTGATCTTAAGAGTAAATTTAGTTTTCATGGCGGAGCGTGTACTCACATTCGGAAGTTAACTATAAATTTAAACTATAAACTAAAGTGGGGAGTTTACTACCGAATGGGAGCTAAATTCCCACTGCCAAAACGACCCTAAGTAAGTTTCATTATTTAAGCTGCAACTGTTGATGTTTAAATTTCTGTTACCATGCCTTAAATCTTCATCGGTTATCAACATTCATTACCTCAGAGAAGCGGCAGTAAATATTTGGCTTAAGGACTTTGGATTCTTTGAATGTACATACATAACTATCATGAATATTATTGAATCATGATATTTAGTCACTATGTACCTATACCGATGCTTTTTGCGTCAGTCAAATATTACAAAAAAAAAATTGAATTTGAAAATATATTGTAGACTTTTAAAAAGAAGACGAAATCTTAACATGTTGCGAACCTTGGCCGCTGGATTAGCTAAAACTGCCCGTTCTTCCAGACGCCTAATTACTTTAGGATCTACTCGTAATTGTATGTATGTGCACGAAGAAGAACCAGAACAAGTTTTTAACAAACGCTTTGAGGATTTCTTCAATCGTTGTGAAATCGATGGCTGGGACTTGCGTCAAGGAATGAACGATATTTTAGGATATGATGTGGTTCCCCATCCTAAAATAATAGAAGCTGGTTTGCGGGCATGCCGCAGAGTTAACGATATTGCACTGGCTATAAGGTGGCTGGAAGCATGTAAGAATAGGTGCGGTGACAAAGTAGACCAGATTTACCCATATTTACTAAATAACATACGTCCGACTCTGTACGATCTTGGCATACCAACACCAGAGGAACTGAATTACGATAAGCCAGAATTGGCGGTAAAATCTGTTTTTGATATGTAATACCATTGACAGGAAGTTAATCTGGAATTAATATACAATATAAATATATATTAAAAGAGATGAATTAAAAAATTGCAAATATTTATTATTTTCACTCGTTAAGAGTTAACAAGTATAGGTATGTACAAATACAAATTTGCTAACCGGTTAAACATCTTTTATTAAATGTACTTAATTCTTGGTTAGTAGTTTTATAACTTCAATTCTCCAAACACCTTATTCTCTTATCACATTTACGACTTCCACTTCTTCAGTAGATTAGCTGCCTTTTCCAAATTTTCCTGTTTTTTGATGAAGCAATAACGTACAAAATTTTCACCAAGCTTTTTATGCGCCTCGCCGTAGAAAGCACTTGGCGGTATACCTTGCAAACCCATATTTTTCGTCATCCACTTTGTAAATTTGTAGTCGCGATATTCGTCTGTCTCCGAAGTTAAATCAATTTTATTTCCTGCAATTGTACAATGTACAATAAAAACGCACAGAATCCTGCTCATTTCATAATTTTCACTTACCCAAAGAACTCCAATCGGCCAACATGAAGTAGCCACCCTCTGGAATAGTAGGCTTCAATCCAGCATCTTCCAAGAATTTTGCCATAAAGTTCCGCTTTATCTTTAATTCCTGTGGCAAACTGTTGAAGTAACTTTCCGGAGAGCCCAGTCGTTCTAATTCCAATTCAAAGCCCCTTGCCACCGCCTCCTGTATTGGCGTTGGACAAGTATACACTGAGTTTTGATGTACCATTTGCAAATTAGTGATTAGATTGGCAGGCCCATAGGCCCAGCCGATTTTCCAGCCAGTGACCGAAAATGTTTTGCCTGCAGAACCAATTGTGATGGTACGTTCCCACATGCCGGGCAAAGTGCAAATGCGAATATGTTTTGCATCATCGTATACCATCCATTCGTACACTTCATCGGAAAGGCACAGAACGTTCCATTTGCGACAAAGCGCAGCAATGCGTTCTAACTCATCACGATGAAATACCTTGCCAATAGGATTATGTGGTGTGTTGAGTATAATCATCTTCGTCTTATTGTTAAAAAGCTGCTCAAGTTCAGCATCGTCCAGAACCCAATCGGCAGAGCTGATAGTGCCATTTGATTTGTTCTAAGGATAGTAAATTTTCGAGTAACGTACAATAAAATAACTAATGCTAATCGACTTACCGGTTTTAGGGCTATGAAGCGTGGTACGCCACCCGCCATTTTCACCATTGGTTCATAACAGTCAAAAAATGGCTCGATGATAATTACTTCATCACCAACATCTACATGACCCATTATAGAGGAGTAGAGCGCCTCATAAGCGCCTGATGTGACTAAAATTTCGCTCAGAGGATTTACTTCGCGTCCAACTAAGTTTGAGTAAAGTTTGCTTAACGCTTGTACGAGCCTAACATGACCCTATGGTTAAAAGTTTACATAAATATTAGTGAGAAAGATTCTCAATCGGAAGTAGCTCACATAACCACGTGTGTACTGCTGCAACAGGGGATTATCACTTTTCGCAATATCCGCCAAAGCATCTGTAACATAGGAGGGTGGAAGTTCGTCTGGAAATCCTTGCCCTAAATTTAAAGGCTTATACTTCATCGCTAATCCAATATATTCATTCCTATGAAATGATTAAGTCTCACGTATATTTTTATAGGAACTTGTACTTGGCAATTATTTTATACGAACCAAACACTAGGTTTACTGCCTTGTAGACGTTTTGGTAATCCAAATTTATCCATTGTCGCGTTAGATTTCTCCCGTTGTGGATTTCGATGGACAATATTACTTAAAATGGCTTGTTTATCACGCAACTGACGTGTTTGCTGACACAAGAGGCGTGATGGCAGACTAAGCATCTGAAAATGGATTCAACAAAAACTCATAAGTAGGTATGTATGTATGTACATGCATGCTGGATGGCCCAAATCTATTCAAAGAAATAAAAAAAACTTATCAGCATTTAAATAGCTTTTTGCTCATTAAATACATAGTTGAATGCATTTTCATTGAGTTTTTGAATGACTTATTTAATACGAATTTTTCACTACATATTTACATTAATTAGTTAACTATTGTACAAGGATCACAGTTAATAAATGCAATGTAGTTGTATATTAAGGTGCGCGTGTCGCGCTGTGCTTATTCGGACTGCCCAATGTGGAGTACGCTGAATTAAATTATTGTTGTTGCATAAAGCAATAAACAATGTTAATTTTCATATGTACATATATGTATACGTAAGTACGTACATATATTAACACAGACCAATGTGCTCAGAATATACAAAATTTGCATATAACGCAAACGGCAGAACGGAAATTATGCAGTGCTGGAATGGCCAGGCAAAAGCGGGGTAGTTTCCAAAAGGAAAAACCATTTTTTAATACAATATTTATTTATTAAATACGGCAAGCCTGAACATTTATAAGAGCTGGTGTTGGCTTTAGATATAAATAATTCTTGCTCTGGAGCGAGCACTTCTTCTTAAGTCATTTAGTGCTGGCCGGCTTCCCTAAAACGACAACTTTGCTCCTTTGGAAAGCAGATAGAATTTTCACAAGGGTTGACGAGTGTAGGCTAAAAATGGACTTCATATTTTTACTTGCTAACAACTCAGAATGCAAATTTTATCTCATACATTTATTTATGCAAAAATTAATTTTATTGGTATATATACAGAACTGGTTAAGTATTTATTTGCAAATAACTTGTTGCACCACAACATAGCATAGCACTTTGCTTCGACCCCTATCGCATCTATCAGTTTAGTACATATGTACGTATACGCTATATTCGTTACAAATATTTGATTATGCTAATCTATTGTTATACAAACCACAAATACAAAAACTCATTTAAAAAAGCCTTTAATATTTACAAGAATCAGCAAAACAATGCACAAATGAAATTGGCAAAATGGCACATGCGCAATAGATGACATTTTTTATTACAGCTGATGATAATTATTTTGCTCTTTCTAACTTAAAACGTCATCAAAACTAAAGGAAGTTACAGAGTTGTATCTTACAAACATCTTTCCGAAACATTTATATTTGATTAAAATAAATAAAAAATCAAACCCTTTTTTGATGACATGGATTATGATATTTAAATCTGGTAAATATTCATACATATGCGCATACATAGGTGCTAAGAAGCTATGAAGTTACAAAGTTAAAACAACTAGTATAGCTTTTTTGTTGACCATCAAATGCAACACTGCGCCGGAAACCGGATGTTATAAAGTAGTTAATCAAAATTTCCGCATAGTCAGAGTTAATGTGCGTTTAGGCCCTGGCAATGCAAGTGATTTTTCTATGCATTTTGCTGTCAAAATGCGAAAGCAAAAGTCTACGTACACGTGTAAACACCAAAAAAAATAACTTTCTGAAATAACATTTGCAAGTTGTGTCTGCAAATGAAGAAATAATTTCAATTTGATAGTGCTGCATTGACATTTTCATTTTTGCTGAAAATGCTGTCAAACCAAGCGAGCGTTGTCGTGTGACGCAGTTTTCGGCGAATTTATATAGTTATAAAAATGTTAAAGAGAATTTATATTCCTGATATGAGGTATTTAAATATTAATGCATTATACATTTTGTGGTGGTTTTCTACACATTTTAACATTTTTAGTAAATTTTTCAGGTCGTTAATTTTGTCATAAACAAAAAAATGTCTGATAACACATTTTAAGGTGTAATTTTCTTCATTCACCGCGTAAACAGACAAAAAGGAATATTAGAAATTTAGATTTTCGGAAAATTTAATTGCTTTCAAAAGTCACTTTACATGCAATGTGTGTTTCCTCCTGCAATCACTTTTGGAAATTCATGAGTTTGAGAGATTTTTCAAAACTGCTTGCACTTGCCAGTCTAAGAGCTACTTTCGTGTAGCCCACTCAAAGAGAAAAATATGCAAAAAAGTACGTGAATGCAAAACCAGTAACTATGTATTTGCAATGACCAGCTGATTAATTTGTTTATTATTGGCAACAATTTCCTAATATATTATTTATGTATTATTTAAATAGGTTCATTCTGTCAATTCCAACTATGAAAACCTCATAAGGAGTTCTTTTATTAAATGTGAATTGCACCCATCAACATGCGATCAGCTGTTTTTCTTACTGGCAAATTGTTGCAAGTTAAATTTTGCCAGTCAAAATTGCAACTTCCTCTCGCAATTTCCCTAACAGTGTACGTTTTTGGGATATATTAATAATTTGGAACAATTGTTACAATTGTTGAGCTACATGAACATTGTTTATAATATTTGCACAAAAATTTACCAATTTTTCACAAAAAGAAATGATCGAAACCCATCTTTAGGAAGGTTCGATTAAATCGGGAGCACAAATACTGATTACTGGGCCTTGCAAAAGAAGGATCGATGCCTCTAGAAGCAAAAAAAAAAATACCAAGTAGCAATTCTGTAAACATAAAACATATCTACTTATTTCGAGCTTCAAGCCTTCCAGTTTTGCAACTACAGTAAAACTTCGATATAACGAAACTGAAGGGGTTGGACAAATGCTTCCATAGTTTCGTTGTATTTATAGCATATCAAAACAAGGAAAAATGGAAAATTTCAGAAAAAATTCGTTATAAGTAATGTTTATTTTCTAACGCCAATTCCGAAAGCTTTCATGCTCAACATTTCTATGTTATTTCTACGGAACATTTTTGAATGGATAATTTCGCAACCACAAATTTTTTTCGGGGGACTTAGCAAAATATTTTTGTTATATTTTGTTTTTCGTTGTGAAATCACCAAAATAATATGCATTAACTTCCAATTAAAACAGCATTTGTTATACATATTTTTTATTGAAGTTTCTTATAAAAAGTGTGTTAATGTCAGAAAAGAACATGTACATATGTATCTAAGTATTATTAACAATTTCTTAGTTCTCTAATAAAACACAATAATAAATGCATTTTAATGTGTGCTCTGTTAATCATGTTAATATTTTTAAATAATCAAAAAAAAATGTATTGAGTAAAAAAACTATTGTAATAATGTGTAAGTTGTAAGCAAAAATTTAATAATTAATTCAATAATTATGTATAATTCAAAAACTTTAAATCAAGAAGTTAGTTGATTTGACATTTATCAATGAAGTAAAAAATATTCGTCACTTGTTAAAATAAGCACAATTTACATACATACGTCTGTGTGTATTTAATGTGTATTCTACATAATGTTAAACCATATTTTTCGATTTGTTTTTATTTCTTCTCATTTTGTGTGTATGTATGTATGTATGTAAATTGACTTTATGATATTGCGGTGTTATCGATTATAAATTCTTATAGCTGCACTAAACTTAATTTAGGTATGTATGTATGTAGTTGCGTATATTCGTTTGTTTAGAAGTACATACATACATATTAAACATTTTATTTGTATTTGTGCTCTATTTCGCACGCTGTTTTTTTGCAACTTTTTAATTTCTTAGTTTTTTAGTCAATATTTTTATAATTCTCTTTATTATCTTTTGTCGCTTTGCTTCAAAAATATTTTTTTTAATATTATTATTTGTTATGCTTTCACTTTGGAGTGCTTTTAATCAACTAATTCTAAATAACTTAAATCACAGATATCTCTAATGTATGATTCAATTCAAATGTTTGCCAACTTCAAATTAAATGCAAATGTACATACATACATATCTATGTGTGTAAGTACGTATGTACATATGTCTAAAAAATGGCCACGCGTTTTGTTTATAAACTTGAATATGTTAGATCTCAAAATCGTTGCTGATTTCAAAATTGTATACGTTTGTTTGTTTGTAGTATTTTGAGGTTAGTTTTACTGGCCACTTAATGAAATTTTTTGTTAGAAACTTTTTAATATGAAAAAAGCGCTATTTATCTAAAAAAATAAAAAAATATAATCAGGCGTGGTTTGAAAGCAGTACGAAGTCGTACTTTTAAGTGCAAGTTTTATGGGTCTTTGCGATTTTAAAAATAAAAATGTTTCAAGTACCAGGTATTCATGAAATGTGATGTGTACTGTATACGGCTTGGCAAAACACGAGACGATTCGGTTACCTACCTAAATAGGTTAGGTTAGAAATTAAACAATTTTTTTTTTTTTTATTTTATTCCTTTTGTCGGCACCACTGCACGACTTTTTCACAACCACTTCGGGAATAGTTAAGGATTGTTTTGGGATAATTTCAGGATGGTTTCTAAGTACCCCGAGTCCTGAGGTGGTTCGGAAAAAGTCGTGAACTTGTCTCTAAATCATCTCAAGTCTTCAAGTCAAGTCTTGAAACAGTCTCGTAATGGTCCTTTACTAGGCCCAAATTGATCCCAAACTAGTGCTGTAATGTTTCTAAACCAGAATGGAAATATTACTGAAATAGTCACGAAATGGTCTTAAAATAATTGTGAACTATCTCGAAATGGTCCTGAACAGGTTCCGAAAAATGATCCCGAACTAGTTCGGAATGGCGATGAAAAGTTCAATTTATAAAAACAGGTAAATCGGGGTTTTTCTTATAAATTCTTTATATGATGTCCGATTTGTAAAAAAGTTATACTTTTTTCTGAAAGCGGCACCATGAATCAGTGGTAAGAAGCTTAAAAATACACTACCGTGCTGAAGAGCGCCTTGAATATAACAACTTTGCCAAACTTAATAGCTGCAGCCGAATTAAATCGCGAACAAATTTACTTTAATTACATATCGCTAGCTTAGGGCCGTTTGTTCTCTAAGTTAGCGACATTTACTTGTTTTATTATCATGCGTGAGAATTACTAGAAGCTGGCTGTTGTTTACTCAATATGGGTTAATATTTTTCTTGCAGAGTGGTTTTAATTTGATATGGAGATTATTTTTCTGACATACAATATAATATTGCGTTCAATGTGTCGTGTTCAGACAAATTAACATAACTTGCAAATTTTAGGAGCCATAAAAATATCTAGTTCTATACATGCAACTGCAGGTTTTCTTAATACTTTTTCAGCGATGCATCGGACATAAAATAAAAAAGTGATAGAAAGCCCCGAGTTAGCTATTTTTACAAGGTGCCGACTTTTTTTTTTTTACTTTCCAGAGATACTCTCCTAGTTAGTGCCTGTTCAAACTCGTTTGGAACAAATTGAACGTTTTTCGGCCCCTATATTTACTATGGTGATACGGTCTAGTGTATGTACATTAAGCTCTACCCAGAATTACAGCGGACGACGGTAAAGCGGTCGGCGGTAAGTTAACAGCTGTACGGTTACCGCAGTGAAATCCGTCAAACTAAACGCAATTGCGGCGCACGACGGCTTCCGTCAGTTGTCATTTTGATTTGAAAATTATCATTTAAATTAAATACCAACCCAAAAAACTACTCAGGTCAATTGCAACAATTTTTCAATGAACAAAAAAAAAGAAAACAAAGAAAAACAAGCAAATGCAATAAATAGACATAAATTAAAATATAGCGCTCTTATCTATTATTGTTTTAAAATTATTTAAGTTGTGATTTTCTATTTGCAACTAATGAGTTATAAACCTTTTAAAAATCGACTTAACAGTAAAATTATTTATTTTTAATATGCCATTTTGTAAAATTGCACACAATGCGCGTCATTTTATTTTTCAGTTAAATGCAACAATTCTCGCTTAAGACTACAGAAAAATATGTTTATCTTTTATTATTTTTATTTTTCTCTTCATTCATTTTATTGTTCTTCTCATTTAGCAATAGAAATGCTTTGTTTACATGCAAATGCTGCTGTGATATGTTCATGTTCTGTTTGTGAAAAATATGTATGTATGTTTGTTTTGAAAATAATTGGCAATGAGTTTGTATATATGTGTATAACCATCATACTTACTATGTATGTACTATGTTTATATACTACATATATACAGTATGTATCTCTGTGTAGCATACATATACATATCGTTACCTTAATTCACAAAGGTCCTAACCAAAAAAATTTTTTGTTTACAGGTGAAGCAAAAAACAATGAAAATAGTATTAAAAGCAGGTACAGCTTTTAAAAAAGTTGTTTTTGGTACCAGGACTTTAAATTTTTATTGAAGGTGTACTCTAATAAATCCTACCAAAATCTGTGAAAATACAGTTTCGAAAAAAAAAATTGTTGGTTAGGGTCTTTTGTGAATTAAGGTAACGATATATAGGTATGAATATATGCTGAGACCTCACGCAAAAAGTGAGTGTAAGCTACTATTAAATTTTCAACGCTTGAATATTTGAATTTGAGCTTAATCTCACTTTTTATGCAAGAAGACAAGACACATTGAACAGGTAGCAGCAGTAGGGTCACAATTTTTTCATTCGAAGTAGTCTATGAATTTTTTTGGTCTTACGTTGCTACCTGTTCATAGTGCCTTGCACGAAGTCCTAATGCTTGAAACACATTGAAAACGACTGGCTAGGGGCCACAGCTGTCAAATTATTTTAACACGTACGCTTATTTAGATAGTAATTTTGCCGGCGACACAACTACAGCGCGACTGTAGTTGTGACCACATTAGAATTATTTATAGTTTTATAGCGACAGATAAGGGTATTCCTTTAATTTTAAACATGCATGTCGCCAGAGGCCATAACTTCCAGCCTGTCGTCTTCAATGTGTTTCAAGCATAAAGCTTGCAACAATTCCTGTGATACCTCTCATATATCTATTTACATACATTTCACACCCCTTTTCGCTTAAGCTTTTCTTATATAATTTTTGTGTTTTTATTTTAATTTTTAATTTAATTCTCTTCTTTTACCGTCTTTTTACTTTGATTTCTTGTCTTTAAATGGCACAAAATAAGCTTTTCGTCAGTAATAAATTTCGCCACCCTAACAATTTGCGTTTAAACTGGCTTGTCAGTGGCTGTCAAACTATGCCGCTATTTTTAATTGGTGGTTATAGAACATTTCCTTATTGCTTATTGCATTTTTAGCTTTCCAACTTTTATTCAGCAACTGTCAATATGTAATGGCTGTCAATGAATATGGCCGCCCATTTCTCATCTCATCGATTGCTCGCCTCGCACATTCGTTCGCTTTTTCATTTGCACACTTTAAACATACACTTCCGGACAATCTTCATCTTTGATCGATGTGTATTGCACTTTTTTGGCTACATTGTCGAAAACCGGCGTAATCATATACTTGATGCGCTCACGGCTCACATAAACCAGCGCCACCACCAATCCGAGCAATATCATACTCAACACAATAAGCAGGAAGATAAGTGTCACGGTGTGTTGATTCATGTGCGGTCGTCCGGACGTCGCGCCAGCACCACCCTCGCCTCCTGCACTCTCATCCGACCCGCTACTGCCGTAGTGTAAATTTGTCGCTGTATTGAACATCATGCTGGCAGCCGCTACCGCTGTCGCACATCCTTCCATATTCAGCTCCATTATGGGCAGTGGCTCCACATCGTTGCGGTAGCACATTAGCGTATTCTTATTGCGTACCGTTACATTCGTTGACAGCACCCAGGTGTGAAATGAGCTGATCTTGCAGTCGCAAACGAATGGATTGAGATTGAAGTCGACAATGAGGTTGGTGGTGCGGTCGGTGCTCGTCTCCAGCTCGTTGAGCAGCATCATGTCGTGCGTCTTCACATATTCGAATTTATTGCGCTCCAAATCGAGAAAGCGTAGGTTCTTTAGGCAGCGCACTTCAAAGTTGATCTCTTTCAGCAAATTATCACCCAAATGTAGATCACGCAAGCTGGGCAGATCGCAAAAGACGTTGCGGTCTTTGAAGTGTGTAATCTCATTTTGCTCCAGATGTAGCTTCTGCAATTTCACCAGCTGGCTATTGACGAATATATCATGCAAATCTTCGCTCAACTGCGGTGAACTGTTGTCATCGAATGCGTCGGTGAGATGTAAACTTTGCAAATTCAGAAAGTTCGAAAATACGCGTGGATGGTGGTGATTGACTTCGTCGTCGTCGCGTGAAATGCTCAAGTTGTTGTGATTCAAAATCAAACGTTCCACATTTTGCACATGGTGATAGGATTTGCCACGTATTTCGCGTATGTGATTGTTGCTCATATCGACGATCTTCAGATTCTTATAGTCGTTAATCGAGCCGAAAACATTCCAAGGCAATTCGAGTACAATATTGCCGGTGAAGATTAGGATTTCCACCTCATCCGGCATGAATTCAAGTACGCTGGTATTGTGTATGCCTGTGTTTGTGCAGTTGACTATGTAACTTATGCTGCCCTCGTAGAGCTCGCGTCCACACAGGCATGCCTTGGGGAAGTTGGGACCACAACTCGACGAGCCAATGACAGGCAGTTGTGCTGTGACGCACAAGCAGGTGGCTGTGAGCAGCAGCGCATAAAGTAGGAGCTGTGATTTGGTGCTTGTGGTTGTGGTGGTGGTGTTCATTGTGGCTTCTGGTTTGAACACTGTGCAGACGTCTCGTTGTCACTGTAATTAAATGAAAGCAAAAATAATTTTGGTTAGTGCTGAAATTTAATTCATTAAGCTGTAGATAAATATGAATTTATGCATATATACATTAGGGTGAACCAAGAAAAAAGTTACGGTCTTATACTTTAAGACCTACGCCAAAATATTTTGTAAAAATATCAAGATTTCAGTGAGCTGGACCGATTTGAAAATATATACATCCCAAATGTTATTTTTTTAATTGTGCGTTGGTATAATAAATTTCAGCATTTTTATGTAGATCTTGTTAGCTTGTTCTATCATTTGAAACAAATTTTTTAAAAACTAATTTTATTTATAAAAACTCGATTTTTGAGATATTTTCAAATCTGTTCAGCTCACGTAAATTTTAATATTTTTCTGAAATATTTTGGCGGCTTTCTTATAATATAATGTAGAATGTTTCATCCTAATGTACTTTACTTTATTTTATTCTGTTACACTTTGTTTTAATTTATTTTGTTTTATTTTACTTCGTTTCATTTTTTTTTTGTTATTTTCCTGTTTCTTATTTATTAAAACTTTATTTACCATAATTTGTTTTAATTTGACTATGCCCGATTGCATCAATCAATTTTAAATTTATCAGGCAGATAAAATTTTAAATGACACAACTTTGTTCGGAAAATTTGTAATTTTAAATATTTACAGTATGATAAATTTTTAAATTAGTTTCATTTAATTTAATTTAGTTTTATTTTATTTCATTTTATCTTACTTTTTATTTTTTAATTTAATTTAGTTTAATTAATTTAATTTAATTTCAGTTTTTTATTTATGTAATTTTTTTTATTTCATTAAGTTTTTGAAATTATTTTTAAATTTTATTTATTATTAATTTAAATTTTTTATTTTATTAATTTTTGTTTTAACTTATTTCATTTCATTAAATTTGTTATTATTTATTGTATTTCTTTCAACTTATTTTATTTTTATTTGGTTTTATCTTTTTTATTGATGCTTTTTTTTAAATTAAAATTTAGTATATTTTCCTGAATTATTTTAGTTTATGTACAAAATTTTTGTTATTTTATTTTATTTTGTTTTAATTCATCTTTATTTTTTATGTTATTTTTATATTTCAATTTATTTCATTGTACTTCAATTAATATTTTCATTTTAATTTATTTTATTTTATTTCATTTTTTATTTTTATTGATTTCATTACATTTAAATTGTTTTTTTTTCTTTTATTTTTTAATTGTAATTTAGTTTATTTTATTCTAATTTTAATTGTATTTTAGTTTGTTTTAGTTAGTGTAATTTAATTTAATTTTAATTAAATTTTTGGTATTTTTTTTTCTGTTTGCTTTATTATTTTAATGTAATTTATTTTCTTCCATTTTACTTTAATTTATATAATTTTTGTTAGTTTCCTAAATTTTTGTTTCATTTAATTTAAATTTATTTTATTTTATTATGTTTCCGGTTTGAAAGTATAAGTGCTCATAAATTCTTATTTTTCCTAATTACTTAAGAGCCTCAATTAGTAAATTGTTCAACTGAGTGCCTTTATCCATATTTACCTATGCTCGGCCATAAATTGTTATACAATCTGAACAAATACATATGTAGTATGTATGTATGTATGTATGTATGTACGTACATAAAAGACCCTCAAAAGTGTTGCCAAACACTTGTTGTTCGAAACAACTTTAAAATTTTGCAGCTTATTTAGGT